GGTCGTTCACCCCTATCGGCGCCTTTCGGACCCGCAGATTTTTGTCCCACCTATCTTTCCCTTTCACCCTCTCTCTCTCGACGTTCTCACCGGCCACGGCCTGTCTCTTATACACATCTAGATGTGTATAAGAGACAGCCCCCCCCCCAATGTTTTCTTTTTTTTTTGTTCGCGCAACCCCCGTCAACCCTCCTTGGAAAACGGCAGGCAAAGCGATACAGGGACACTGGACCCGGTTTCCAGCAGCAGGTTTCAGCCCATCCTTTTCTGATGAACAAGAGTCTAGAAGGGGGAAGGGGGAAGGGTGGAAACATAGCACTTGTTGGAATTTTGCTTGGATCTGGCACAGTGTAAGACGGTGAGGAGTTGCAGAGGTATTCTTAGGCATAAGGGTCAAACCACAGCCATGCAGATCTCGGTTTTTCTCAGCCAAGCTATCCTTATGAATTTCTCTATACTCCAATGTATACAAGGGACGCTGGACCCGGTTTCTAGCAGGTGATGCTCCCCACCAATCGATGGAGCGGTCAGTCATAGGAAGGCGCTCGTCATCGGCACCATCATCATCCTGTTGTCATCACAGGGCGCTGTGCGTCGTCATCATCATCATCATCATCATCATCATCATCATCATCATTACCAACATCATCATCATCATCACCATCACCATCATCATCATCATCATCAACCATAAGTTTGTAATCGTAGGGACTGTTGGTGCTGCTTTTTAGTAGGATCAGCATCATCACTCTGTCTTCATTCTCATCATTACCATCATCATCATCAGTTTGTCATCATTAGATGCTGCTCTTCAAGGTATTGTTTGCCTTTCACATCAGCAGGTGAGTTGGTCATCACCATCATCCTCATCATCATCATTTAAGGATGCTGTTCATGTTCATCAGCGAAGTTCAAAAAAAAAACCTCATCTGCCTTCTCGCCATCATAATTTTCAGGAATTTCCGATTCTTCCACTCATATCTTAGGAATCCTATTTCCTAGTAAATTCCTTGTTTTTTTCTTTTTTCCACTATTATTATTTCTGATTCGCCTTTGGGCGACTAATGACCTATTTTTGCGTGGGTGGGGCGTTGGGGCTTTAAGGAGGAGAGCTCTACTCTACAGGGGCTTCACAAGGTGGGGGGTGAAATTCCCTGGAGGGAGTGGGGGCAGATTTTTGGGGGATGCCCTATTCTGGGGCTGGGAGAGATGTATGGATTGGCATCATATCCAGGCGGAGGCAGATAGGGGTGAGGGGTTGGTTGAGGCATACTTTGGGTGGAACTGGGTGCCTTAGTGGAAGTTGGGGGAGGAAGCAGGTATGTCCCAAGTTGGGGCCAATAAGAAGATCTTGTGATCAGGGCAGTCCTTTTCGGTGGAGGCAGCGGAGGGACAGGGGGAGATGGAGGGGCGGGGGGGGAAATAATCCACAAAAACGTTCGGAATTCTGATTCTCCTCTAAAGTGCAGACAAATTATTTCTGGTGGGGTGGTGGGTTGGTTCTGAGGGGGAGACCTCTATTCTGCAAGGGCTTCACAAGGAGGAAGGTGATAGCCCTGAATGGAGACGGGGCAGATTTTGGGGGATGCTCTATTCAGGGGCTGGGGGAGATGCATGGGTCGGCATCATATCCCAGCGGTGGCAGATAAGGGCAAGGGTCGGCAAAGGCATACTTTGGGTGGGAACTGGATGCCTTTGTGGGAGTGGGGGGGGGGGAACGGGTCTGTCCCAAGCTGGAGCCGATGAGGAGTGTCCATGATCAGGGACGGTCCTTTGTGGTGGAGGCAGCGATGGGGCAGGGGGACGAGGGGGGCAGGGGGGAATTTCTACATCCTTTGTTGGGACTTTTCCTGATTCTTTTTGGAGTCTTCAAAACAAGAACCCTTGTTATTCCTAGCAGTTTGAAGAATCTCTCGGGACTCTGATGGTCTGCTGGTGGTTCATACAAAGCTGCAGTGGAATTAGACTGTTTTATTCAGGACCCGGTGTCGGGGGACCCTTCGACCTTTCCCCTCTGCTCTCTTTCCCCTCCCGAGCCTCGTTTGTTTATCCACTGACCAAGCCCTATTCGGGACGATGAG